TATATATATATATATATATATATATATATATATATATATATACACTTAATGATTTTTGTATATCGGTCATCAAATCTGTTGTTGCTTAAGGCGTTAAGAATGGCCCAAATTTATATGGAGTCAAATGTTTTCTCGTAATCCACTATGGCTATCCAGAGTGTTATATCGTATTCGTTTGATTTTTCAATTAGTGTTCTTATTACTTGTATATGATCTATGGTGCTATAACCTTCTCTCAATTCTGTCTGCTCCCGAGGCTAATAACTATCCAGTTACTTTGTTATATAGACATATAATATAAGACTGACTGCTGCAATACAGTGGCGTTTCCCCAGTGCGATAGCAGTTCCTGCGACCCTGCATGTTTCTAATGGTCCGGGTTTATCGACCACGTGACTTTCTCATTGATCATTTAGGTTCAAAGTAGCTAGTAACAATGGCCGATCTTGTGTCCGGAATAATTTAATACATATATATGCACACTAATTATTCCTTGTTTTTTTGTTGTTATTTACATTTGAATAAAAGATATAATGACGTAACATTGTAAAATTAAAAAAATAATATTTTTAATAATATAACATATATATTTTACAGGTACGTAGTTGCGCATCGCACTCCACTGATGTCGCTGGATGCAAAATATTAAAAATTTAACGAATTTATTAATTTACCAAAAAGAATACCTTATATTGACTTGAACACATAATGTTACCTGCTTAACATTAATATATCGAGAAATAATTAATCACCTGACAAATTCACGTCGGTAGCTAGTAATGTGACGTCAGTTCCGTCGTCTATCAACTACATGTAAAAATATCAACATGTTCTATCCTTAGTCGATGACTGTCATATACTATTGATATATATCAAACAGCACACTTTAAAAACAATTTTTTAAAAGTTAATGGTACTGATTGCAGTAATATTCGGCAAATCAATCAAATACTTCAAAGACCTCCCTTGTATTCACCGTTGAACAATAAATACTTTCATTTAGTTAAGGGTTCAAAGTAAAACTCATAAAAACTTGTAAATATTTAAGTATAATCATGTATTGCTTTTAGTTATATTGGCAAATTAGATTTAGTGTATTTTGTATCGGTGTTGAGTGTAAATGACATATTTTAATAAACTTTTACTAAGTAGCATTACGAGCCTTTTTTTGTGTGAGAGAGGAAATCTAAAAACCGTACCAGGAGAATCATATCTGGTTTGAATTGGAGTACATCCGAAAATTCCCCTTTTGAGAGCTGTTGACCTCATATGCAACTTTTATTCAGTATAAAATGATATGTGTTCGTTGGAGAATTAAGTAACGAAACTCTGAAGGAAAGCACAAATTTATTTAGTTGTTTACAGCTTAGGGTATAAAACTATATTGACTTAATGAATACAAACTATATCTTAAAAACCTCTCATAGTTATGGTCATATCGCTGACACCTCGAGATTATCTCATCCCTTGAAAATCTGAAATGTTTCCCAAACAACTTCCCAGTATTATAGTAATGTACATCTTGAAGCTTTAAAATGTTTCACTAACATTATCACTCTATTGCAGAAAAATTTCTTCTTATCATTTATATTTTAGTTTGACACAGCATTTTATCACACTGTTGATTCGAAAAAGAACAACTCTTTATATAAATACAAAAATATCAAATAATTAACAAGAAATATTCGATTTTTCATTTGGTCGAATCGAATCGATACGAGCGTCAATTATCATTTTTAATTTTGATCATTTCGGACATTGTACAGTTTGAGGGTACCTTTTAGTTGTCGTTTCCATCCAGGTTACAGGTTCGACTACTTACCTTTTAGGGTACAATGCTTTGTGATTTTAAAAATAAGACGAAAAAAACTATAAAAGCTGTATTAACATGTTAAATAAAATATAAATTGATGTAAAAAATATAAACGTTAAATAAATATGGTTAATAAATTAGATTCTGTGACAATAGGTTAAGACAATTCGTCAAATCATTTTTTCACTATATGTATTGTTTTTAATTTTTACGAATTGCCCATACCTTATTGTTACTTGTATATAGAGCTATTCTTATGGCATCTGTTTTTGACATATTTCATAAAAAAAGTCAAAATCAAACCGTATTGTGAGTAAAGTATAAAGCAAATAGTAAATGACGGAAGACCAACATTAGGATAGTTACAAACTGTAGGTATTAAGGTATCTGCAGCTGCAGTAAAATGCAGCTGTTTATGCAATTTTCCGAGGAAATATACCAGAAAAGATGAACATAACGCGAACGTGGCCAAAAGAGAGCGATTTAACATAGCGTTTATGTCAAACCATGTACCTTGCACATACTTCTAGTATTCGTCGATATTTAGATTACATATGCCATCAGCTTACTCCAAATTCGAGTAACTACATGAAACAGCAAGTCTATATCCTAAGTTCACGTCGCTATTTTCTGATAAAGTCATCAATAAAACTAATTTACCTGAGACGGCTACGTATCTACTGCGCATGGCTTTAACCTTCATTCTCACTTGTAAAATTAAGGGAAAATAGCAAACAAAATATTGTATGTTTTAATTGCCAGTCTATTGTCTTTAAGTAAGATGTAACAGTTTTTGTGGGTCGTCACCTGTCATTGGTTTGTTCATACCTACTGAAATTGGTAAACATTAAGATCTCTAGATCGAATCAGGAACCTAAAATATCACAGTAGATGAAAAATCATTTTTATGTGCCAAGACCAAGTAACCTTATGTAGAGTCATACGTCGTCATGTTACCAATTGCACTGATAACTTAAACATCTTAACTTTTAAGAAAATATAATTTAACATTTAACGGGTTTTTAGCCATATATTTTAGTGGCTCAAAGCATGTATACTTAGTAAATATTAACTATATTTTGCATTAAACTTAGTCAACATTTCAAATTTTACGTTATTTTTAATTAAAGTCGTTATATACTTTCAGATTACACTGATGATGGAATTTAGTTTGGGTATTTTATTATATACCTTTTATTAAGGATGTTAAATATATTTTTTGTATTTTTATGTGCATTTCAGATGCACCGGAGTTTTCGCTTCATAAGATGTATGACAATGTCGTATCACTTATGTCTTTATACATGGAAGCACATTAAAGATGTAAAAAATAGCTCTATATATAGTTACGTTCATACACAAAGAAGCCGTTTAAAATTATATTGTAATACTGAAAATATTGCCTGAATTCAATAAAAATCTAGCTCGTCAGTTATAAGGTTTTCTTAAGACTAGGCTGCTATCATTACATATTATTCCAATTAAAATATCACAACATTTAGTACTTACTATAAAAATAAATCACTATGGGGTATTCAGCTACGTTTAAAAATATCTTTTTGGTGAACATTCAGACTGACTTAGATGCGCCTATAGGATTTGGCCAGTGTTGAAACAATATAAAGCGCGTAAAAACATTTTATTTACTAGTTGGGTATGGTAAATCTTTATAATGTCCATAAATAATATACTAAAACAGTCTAAAGGCTAGGAAGCACTATTAAACCTGAAGTGACAACTTCATTCTTTCGGACATAGTTAATGAGGTGTCTTTGCAATGAAAAAGGGATTTTAAAATAAATCTATAAAAAAATACGATACTGTTCATTTATTGTAATTGTACTGTAATAAAACGTCACTGATAGGTCATAAAACCATGAAGTTTAATTCAAGAAGTGCGAAAGTCAACCCAATAACTAAAAGGTAAGTTAAAGTAAGAAGCATAGCTCATTTTGAAAAATTATTCAAAAACTAAGGTAAAAAAATACAGCAATTTTGGCAAATCATTCAAAAGCCATGGAAAACTTATTATTATGAAGAAAAGAAGAAAATTTTCTTTAAATCAACACATAACCTGTAAAATTGTAAATACTGTGATTAAACTTCAATAAAATATATCGTGACTATTTTTCCTTTTTGAAATGCCACTGATAGCTTACAAAACCCATGAAGTTTGAACCAATGAGTGTGTAAAAGGTAATCTAAAAGTAATAACCATGGCTTATTTTGATATATTATTAAAAACGGAGTAAAATACAATACAGCAAATTTTGCAATCATCCAGTGGTCATAGAAGACTTATTATTGGGAAGAGATAAGAAAATTGTGCTGAAGTCAACACATAACCTATAAAACTTATAAATACTGTGATTAAACTTCAATAAAAATATAATGTGACGATTCCTCAATTTTGAATTATCCAACGGCCATAGAAGACTTATAGCGAAAAGAAGAAGAAAATTGTTTACAATTCAACAGATAATCTCTAAAATTTATAATCTTATTCTTACGGAATAAATAAATGGAACACTGTTTGGGTTTTGGGCTGAATTTTGAATCAACAAAGTCAGTTTCGCAACCCAAGCCAAAACTGTTCGCAATTTTTTTGTGCGCGTTATCCTACTCTGCATCTAAGGCTGGGTAATACACTACTAATGTGCCCGTGTTGGTCCTACACATTATAAAATCCTAACAAGGTTGAAATGATTCTCTAAAAAAGATCTAAAAAAATTATTTAAAAGATTTGGTACTGTTTCAAAAGATACCATTAAGGTCGTAATTAAAAAGCTGTGGATATTCCATTGCGGCAATAAAGTATCTAAAAAGTTAGGCGATACAATACCAGGGCAATGTAAAAACTGCTCTACGGCTAAAGATCTACCAAATAAAGAAAAAATTAATGGTTAATTAATTTAAATAATTAATGTTAATAATTAATGGTAAAATTAATTAATAAATGCTAAATTTTTCACCAATAGACCGAGAATTTTCTCATTGCCCCAGTATATATGCTTTATAAATTCCAAATTAGCATTCAAAAAGGTCACGTACATAAAATTACAAGTACATGTATATGAAAACAATAAAAATTAAGAATGTTGTAAACCTTTGCACATTCTATTTCCTAGACATTTGACCAGTTTCTTGTATCTTTTGAAATCGCATCAATCACTCTAAAAAATCACAATTAAGCGGAAATAAGCCTGGCGTTCATTTGCGCTTCTTCAATAATCAGATTGATGTCATCCCTTTCGGCCTGTTCCGCTTCTTCTAACCATTGCTTTATTTCTATGTCGTACATGTGGTGTTGAAGGACCTCTCTGGTTCGTCTTCGTCTACCAATGTACGCTACAACGCCCTAAAAATAAGAGAAATTGTTAAGTTTTTGCAGAGTTTGTAATTTATGATACACTCAATGCTGTTAAGTATTTTTATATTGTTTTAAAGTATTAGAGAAGTATAATTGGCAATTTGTTGAAGTAAAGCTTGAAATTTATTATCATTTTTTCTTTTATCCTCCAATGCTCTTCTTTATCGTTTCTTGTGTTTAATATAATTGCTTATACAAATTTTCTCACTGTATATTCTTATTTTGTTATTGTGAAACCTTCGTTGCTTATATTCGGTCCCTCTTTATTTCCGTAAGTAATTATTACTACGACAGATTCTGACAATTTAATATTTTTGAAGCTAAAAGTTGAAGTAGGAAAATGCTGAAGCGGTGTAACGGAGGTACTACCACGAAATATAATAACGGTGTGTGGTTCGCAGTCACAGTAAACAGTTGGATGAGTCCAGGCAACAAGGCGAGTCCGTTATGGAACATGTAAAATTTTTCAATTTTATTAAAATCTACAAAAAATCTTTAAAAAAAATAATAAAATTATTATATTCAATTGTAAAAATATTTAAACTTTGAAAATACAGAAAATATACCGTGAAGCTTCGCGCTAGTCTACAGTACCACCTACTGTACCACTTTTTTCTCAAGATTTTGTTTTCCCAAATTTGTCAAGTGAATTAGTGAAATTTCTCCACATTGTCAAGATGTGGAGAAATTTCACTAATGAATTTTAGACGATTATTGTTATTTTTGGTATATTTTCATCTATTCTTGTCCTGTTCTTTTATTTTCTCGTATAGATTCTTACACGTTTCCAGTATTCCCCGTCTATATCTGTTTATTTAGTTCCATAATAACAATTTTGATGAAAGATAAATTTCCCTAGATTTGGGGAAATTTTTTGTTTTTTACTTCTGTTTTATATTATTGTTATTTTTGGGTATGTCTTTTACATACTTTTAATTTTAATTTTTATTTAATTCATTTTGTCTAATATTGGTTTAATTCTTCCTATTTATTGCCTTATATATTCTATTGACTACTATATTTATTATATCTGCCACTTTTGTGATTTTGAAATTTTTTTTATTTTTACTATTTTTATTGTCTTTTTTAACGACTTTTGGAGTTTCTTTATGCTTGTAACCGTTATTAATACCTGTTTTCACATCTGTAAAATGTAACCTAGCAATATTTTTCCCTAAATATGGGGAAAAACGAAACATCAGTCATTGTAAAGTCCCAAAAGAGCTCATTTATTAGAGTGGGATAGAGATATATAGAGTGGGAAGGCTACATTTCTCTAGATTTAGGGAAATTGTACTGAAAATAAAAAATGACAATTGTTGTGTTCCTTGTATATACTCATTAACTCTCCCTAGTCTTTAAGTTTCTCTTAAAGGTTTCTAATTTTACATTTTTCAATTTTTATTTAATCATTTTTTAACTCTTTTTACCTTTTTAGTGGTGTTTTCAACCTGTTAAGCCAGTTTTTTTCCTTTCGTGACTTTCTTTTCATTTGTTTAGTCTTTGATGTTTTCTTGAATTTTCTTTAGATCTGGGGAAAATGAAACATGTGATTTGAAAACTTCATAAGGGTCCATATATTAACGTGGGGACAAAGATGTTCTGAGAAAGCTAAATTTCCCCAGATTTAGGGAAAAAATTTAAAAACCAATATTGAACTTCGTTGACTTCTTTTAGCTATTATTTCTTATCCTTTTGTGGCTTTCTGTTAGTTTATTACCATTTTAATTACAATTATTCGGTTCTTTTTTCACTTCGTCGTTATGTTAAGTTTAACTAAGTAACATGAAAATGCACAATTATAAATAATTACTTACCCCTACAACAAAGTCCGTTTGAAGAGACTCTAGAAGTCTTACTTCTTGAACTTGTGATTGCAGCGAATTCCAGTCGACAATCACTTCTTCGTGCAACATAAGTTCCTCTAAAAAACGCAGAAATTGTTAAACTATTAACTATATAATTATATAACTATAAACAATGCAAATATAAAATAAAAAAGCTTAAATTCACTCCTTTTTAGAGATATGATTGATGGGTGAAGTCAGTGATTGATCGTATAATCTCTATAATCTCATTCTATAATCCTTATAACCTTTACTATCACATTTGGATATGATGTAATTACATGAAAGTTAGAAAATATTATACAAAAACTACGACTAGAAGATAACTAAAGGATAAATCAAATCAAAAACAAAAATAACGAGCCATACTTCTTCCAGGCGATACAATTGGGATTCACTTAAGAAGAGCCAGGCAGTTGCTCGGATTATACTTAAAAAATCGATTGGGTACTTCTAAAAACGCCACAAGCAATACTGAGAGAACACATTTCACATTTGATTTTGGCTATTATTTAGAGCCCCAATACTAGAAAGCAGTTATTCCACTTTTATAATACCATCTACTAATTCGGAAGAGAATCTTTCACCTTTTCTTAACGTAAGGTACTTTAACAAAATCGAAAGATACATCAAGTCAATGAGTAAAAAGAATAGAAAAATATGTCAAAAGGAGAAAAATGTTTGCAGAATATTTCATCATTATCAGTGACATCACAGCTCATTACAAGCCAAAGTCTCCTTCAGAACAATCCTCTATTCATCCCTGTATCTGGCAACCCTTCTCCATGCTCTAACTCCAATAAATTTTAATTCGTCTTCTAGGCTGTCCTGATATTCTGATATTCCGAATGGAGAATGAATACAGGAATGAGATAAGAAGAGCAAGGAGAAAAAGGTGGAGTAACCTGCTTCAGGATCTCGAAAGAGATATCTGAAGCCCTGCCTGAGGAGGAGAAACTCCGTTTAATACGGGAGCTAGTGCTTTAGGTGAAGGATATGCGTAAAAGCGTTACCGGTTTCGTACAGACGGAACCCCATACAGAGTTGGAACTCGGCGAGGTACTTGGACGGATGAAGATCCAAAAGGCACCTGGCATAGACGGAGTCATTCGGGAGACAAAAAGGCTCCAACTTGAAGTATTGAACAATAATAGTTTCCAACTTGGTTGAAAGACGCTACGATTATCCTTACCCTGAAAGGTGCAGGGTACGAGGAAGAGGTGCGCTTTCGGATAATTTGCCTTCATATTTTGGTAGCTAAATTGTACGAACAACTTGAGGAAGGCCGCCTTAAGCGAGAGCAGTAAGAAAATAATGCACTGAGCGTCCGCCAATATGGTTTTAGTGCCAAAAAGGTCAAATATACATGCGGTCACCGAAGTGACCTCTTTAGTCATGCAGGATACTAATATGTATATGGGTGGATCTCATCCTGCTCGACGTCAAGAATGCCTTTAACATAGCATCATGGAAAAAATATGTCCAGGCTGAGAGAATTGGGCGTTAGTGAGTACCTGGTTAACGTGGTTGACAGATACTTTACTGACATGTCCATAAGGGGAAAGATACCAGGATCAGATTGCCGTAGGATGGTCCGCAGGGTTCGGAGTCTGCCTCGGCGGACTGTACTGTTTGTGGGGTGTCGGACGCTCTCGACCACCTTTTCAACTGCTAGAGGTGGGCAAATGAGAGGGGAGACTTGAGACTGAGAGGCGAATGGGTTTCAGGCCGGATGACAGAAATATGGTAAACATAGTGATGAGAGGAGAGAGAGAGAATGAAGAGAAGGGCACTGTCTGATCTTTGGGGCAATGAAGAAGACAGAGCAGGTGACAGAGGAGGAAATTGAACCAGGGATTTAAAATCTTGTTTCTTTTTTCTACAGAGCCAAGAACTCGTAAGTATCAAAATTAGTTTATCGCCATACGAAAATATTTTCGTTCTTTTGTTTTCTGTTAGTATGTAATAGGCAGTTCCTAAACTTTTTTTCTGATTTATGGTGATTATGGTTAGTTGTAAGTTTCCCTTAATATAATGTAGTGTTTCCTCTTTACTAAGTTGACTACTACTACTACTACTAACTAAGTTGACGATTAATTTTTATTGAGTGGTAAGATCACTACTCTGGAACGGTGGTTAAGGTACAGTTTAGCCGGAATAGCGTTAATTCGGCACTACCGGGTCTTCTTACGTAGTTTCATACTCGGCCGGAAGATACCAGGGTGTCTTGCTCCGTGAGATTAGATGTCTAAAAAGATTTCCACCACCACCGCCTGCCAGAATTCAATGGATACCTTTTAAGGGTCTTACTGGAGCCTGGCAAATACGGCAATAAAAAAGGTAGCATCGTTCTTCATCTGACTCGTTGTCCCATCGGCCATCCTCGGTCAAAAACTTTTCTGAGTCTTACCCCTTCCTCTTGACTGATTACATGCCCTATGTGGGCGTGCTATGTTAATGAATTCTAGAATGTCAGATTACCGTTAAACCACGTACAAGGTGAACTTTAAATCGTTAGGTTTAAGCAGTTCTTGGTCCCTCTGTGTAAGTGACCACGTTTCTGCTCCATATATTAGCACTTGTCTTATTAGTATTTTATAGGCGGTCACTAGAATAAGTGTAAACTTAAATTTAACATGAAAATAAATGCATATAAGTTATGTTATTTGGGACAGGAACCGATGCAACAACATATTTTGCAGCGTTTTACCATGTATGCGTTTTATGTTTTATGTATTTAGGATACTCACCATCTTTCTTTGAAGTTTGTTGTTTGTACTGGATCCTAAATCTGAACGCTTCCAAAACAGAAGCTACAACTATCGTCAACACAACCATCGTAAACAAATAAAACATCATGAAATACAATCGAGAAAACTTGTTTTTCGATTGAAAAGCGTAGGCGTCCATGACAATGAACCAGTTGTTAACAACTGTCAGTTCGAATAAGGTGACACCGGAAGTCAGAAGGTTAGAGAAGTTGTTCAGGTAGTAGTAGCCGATACCGCTAGATGTCCCGTTTGATTTGTAAAAGTCTTCTACTGTGCTATTCCTAAAAAGACAATTACAGTTTATTTCAGCGTTGTTGTATATGTAAAATATGAAAAATATGTGGAAAACATAAAAAATGGAAGACAATTATAAGAAATTTAAAAAATAAAGAAAAAGAAAAATAGGAAAAAAAGAAAATATAAAAAGAAAAAAAAAATAAAAAATATAAGCAATATTAAAAAAATGTAAATTTTACGAAAAATATGAATACAATAAAATATATATGGAAAATGGCAAAAATATGGAAAATGAGCAATAAGAAATATATGAAAGAATAAAAAAAAACATACAATGTGTTTAGATTTCTTAAAGTAATTGCTACCATATATTAGTACAATATGCTACTATAAAGCTAATTCTTTTATCAAATGAAGTGTAATTTTTTAAGCAAATATTTTTATAAAAATAACTAAAGTATACTTACTCGCAACAGTTCTTCAAATTATAAGACGAGAACAGCTCCATTCCTATTATAGCGAAGAAGTAATACATGACCATCATAACAATGCCAGTAGACCACATCAACGGACTCAGAAGTACCAACGTGCCGAAAATATCCCGATACCTCTTTTTCAACTTGAACAATCGTAATAACCTGAAATATGCCAACGTTAAGATAATAATTCTTGAGAGGTGTATCCATTTTTCCAATTACTCACCTCAAAGGTCTTAATATGACTACTGCCGTAAGGCTTGGCAACATGGATAACAAAAACGCTCCAATTAAAGCAAAGAGTGTTACTGATAAGTCGAAGATATTCCATCCGGATGATATGTATTCCGCCCATCCTAGTCCGATTATTCTCAATAGAGCTTCCATTAAGAACACTGCAAATTATTAAAACCTATGTCAATCACAAAAAGTGTCATTAACACGACTTACAAATAAAAACCCACAAATAATGTTTTTGTTTGTAACTGCTAGCTGATTATATATTAAATATTACACTATTAACAATGACGTTGAAGAAAGGGAAAGACAAGAGCTTAAAAATTCTCTCAACAGGAATTCTTAAAATATTTTTTCTCGTAAGGTATTTATGTACAATTAAATATTTTCATTAGCAACGCTTCCATAATTAACATTGATTCCACATTATGATTGTTGTAAAAACAACTTATTTAATTATTGTAATCGTATCTTGTTATTTTATCAACTTAAGCGCTGAGATCGTCACCTCTCGTGTTAATGTGTTTGCCACCCTCTCTTTCATAATCTCTCTTCACCCCGCCTTAAAGGTCAGACTACATTATAATGCGCTCCCTAACTTTCGCGTGATTGGTTGGTGGGTGGGTCCCAATTTAAAAATTGGCAGGTTTCATGTTTATTAAAATGACAATAAAATTGAGGTATTGTGGCACAGTATATCGCTAAACAATGTATTAGCAATATATTGTGGTATTGGTACAAAGCGGATGATATTCACATTTTAGGATTAAACTGACTAGTACAGTTTTATTAGAAATTAAAATTTATTTTTCTTTTGACAACTGAATCTCCTGGGTATTAGTAGAAAAGAGTAGCGGAGACAGGTCCTTGAAGAAAGATGATTAAAATTAAGTTGATATGCTATATATAATACAAACAAAATATTTAGAATATTCTTTTAAAGATGAAATTTCAAGACCAGATAGAGTAGTTGGCTTGGATAGACAAGAACTAAAAGATGATAATGTTCGGCTTTTAGGATTGCTATTACCGTTTTATCTCTAATATTTCAATTAAAGGTAAAGGAAAGAGGCAAATTGAGTGATGTATGATAAAAAAGGTACCAAGAAAACTAAAAGGTAAATTGTATAGGACTGCCTTTAGACCAGCTATGATGTATGGTACTGAATGTAGGGCAGTAAAAAAGGGGATGAACAGAAATTACATGTTTCTGAAAAACCATAATCTCATACAAAAAGCGGAGAGGTACTTAGTCCCTGGAAGAGAACAGAAACGTTTAGAGTAAAATATTTAGAGAAGCCAATTCCACATAGAGAAAGCTAATGAGAATAATAATATATAATATATAATAACCTCTATCTTAATAATCTTATAAAAGAATCTCAATAAAAAATTACCTAAACAAAAAAATTAAAACAATATCTATATATCTAATAATAAAAAAAGCATCACTAGCATATCAAAATTAAATAAACACAATGTCTGAATTTAATTTTACCTACATAATGTCAAAAGAAAAATAAATTTTAATTTCTAATAAAACTGTACTAGTCAGCTTAATCCTAAAATGTGAATATCATCCGCTTTGTACAAATACCACAATATATTGCTAATAAATTGTTTAGCGATATACTGTGCCACAATACCTCAATTTTATTGTCATTTTAATAAACATGAAACCCGCCAATTTTTAAATTGGGACCCACCCACCAACCAATCACGCGAAAGTTAGGGAGCGCATTATAATGTAGTCTCTTAAAGGACTTAGCTTAGGACAAGAACAGTGCGAATTTGCCTCACGGTAAGTGAAGACGGGGTGGGTGGTCGATCTCCAAAAGTGCTTTGTAAACCCGGTGTTTTGTGTTAAACCGTTTTGTCTCTCTCTGTAACTCGATATATCTTTGTTACTGCCTCCTAGCACGTAAAGCTAATGATATTTGTATATCTCTTTTTAGTATGATCAGAATTGCGATAATATTATCAATGTTGAATCAGCCCTGTAAGTTCACTATAAATAAATCGAAGGAAAAATACGTCTTAGTGTTTTATTGCTTTAGTGGTTCTTGAGATATATTTTGAACAAACAGGTGTTCAACTACACCTCTCTTAAATGTGGAAAGTTTGGTATTAAATTTACCCTCTCCATCCAATGATCAATATTAAGATTACCCGAATAACATTTATGATTGATTTTCAGAAAGAGACTGGATCCTTATGATTTTCCCAACAGAACTACTAAAATATTTTTCTATTACAAGTTACTTACATATTAAAAAGAAATAGGTATCCCATGAGGCACAAAACAGCTTGGCACCTTCTTCCAGAGAATCGGAGTTCTGCATAACTCTTACGAACATTGCCACTCCGTTTGCTATTATTAAAACATCTGTAAATAAAAAAAAACTTGTGTATTACTGACAATATTTTTCTTTACTAATATATGAGTATATAACATCGCCCAATAAATGGCTTTCTTTAATGTTTAAGGAAACACCCTTAAACATTAAAGAAAGCTCCAATAATTGCAACAAAGTTTAAATTGGAGAAACATCCAGGAACATGTCGGAAAGATTAATATCACACAGGAGTGACATTAATCTGAACAAAGTATAAGCCTGTACATTAAGTGAACATTCAGTCATGACGGGACGCACTCCAAACTGTGACCAAGTAACAATAATGGGAGTCAGTGCCACGCAGTGTATTCATGTAAACGAACATCAAATATACTATTCTGGAAAGTCAAATGCAAATACACGGAGTTGAATAATCATCAAAAAAAGTATTAACCAAAGTAAATATACAAACAGTTTCACTGCATGCACGAATACGAATATGGTTCTTCTCAGCGCCTTCTTTCAGTTGTGATTTACTATGAATTAGTCATGCGAGTAATTATTCTGGCAACTTTCAGGATTGTACTAGCCAAGTATGCACTATAAAAAAATAGTTATGAAATTAATTAATTTGTATTTTTACTTATTTTAGTTCATTCGCCTAAAGTCGTTAAGTCGAATGGACATATCTACAAGTTTTCAATTTGCTAGTAGCGTGCTTTTTGCACGAAAATGTGTGAAGAAAATTCGGGACGTCTGAATACTAGACGTATCTCACGAATAGTGCGGAAGAATACTGATTAATTTTTCTGCAAAGTTTACGGAAAAATTTTGTCCCCGTCGCTAGCACTTGTTCCTCTATCTACGCTTAAGTAGCGTGTACAGGGGAGCACGATATTTGATATTTTGGCCCAATGAAAGTTTTGTAGGTGTTCAAAGCGTTGCTTTATTAGTAGCCAAATTTACCGCAGCCTTCGTACCATGTCTAGGCTAGTTGAAATTTTGACGACCCAGATGAGAGTGTTTTTGGTTGGGCTCAAAGTGGGCCACCGTTGACTACAGTTTTAGTCCCTCTTCGTGGACGGATAGTCGTGGATTGATGTCGGTTTTATTTCTAAGGGCTCTGCAAGTTATAGTCCGAGCTTTGAAAGCTGTCAAGTGAGGACGCGGGAAATCATGTGTTTGTATAACATTATATGGGACTGAGGGGATTAAATTATGTATGGGAGAGGTAGTCCTATTAGTTTTAACTTTAATTAGTCCTAGGTGCCTGTATCAGATTTAATTGAAAGCTTTTTGGACGTTTGGAATGGTGACTATTACGATATTATTACAGATGTTAATCTGTGTGATGTGTACTACTGTATGATATGCAAAACGATTGCAGTGAGAGCAGAAACGATCTCAGTTAATGTAGGGATGATATTTTGAGTGTCTAAGAAATCTACTAGCCTGTTTTTTTTTGTAGAATCTCGTATACTTTCCCTGGAGTGTTAAGTAGAGAGATCGGTCTGAATGATTCAGCATTTGTTCAAAATTTACCTTTTTTGAGGATCATAATTGTATTTGATATTTTCCGAGGGGTGGGAAAATAACAAAGTTTGAATGCAGTATTTACTATCGTCGTTATTATAGAGAATATACTTTGAGGAAGTTGTTTTAGGTTTTTGTTATGGGTGCTATTACGCCTAGAAGCTGTGTTATTGCTGAAATTATTGGTATTTACATTAAAAGAAAGAAGTAAGATTAAAAAAAAAAACGTAGCTGACTTGGGTTATGATAGATTCACAAGATGGTTACGTGCTACAACACGTGTTGTAAATACCAAAGAAATACCTTAAGAATATTACAGGCTGAATAAGGGCAAATAAAAGAAGGAGAAGTCAAGCAAGAGACGGATCGAGAGAGTATAATACTATTGTAGCTTTTCTATTGATTTTTCTGCTATGATGCTCTGATGTATACTCATTGTCATCAGTCACATCCTGAAAGTTTCCCGTCTTAAGATTAGTTATGCTGAGATAAAATACACCATATATTAAGAATCATTTTTCGACTTTTATGGTCTCAAAATACTTCATATTCATATTCTTTTTCAGATTATTTTGGCATATTCGAATTATTTTAACTGTTTAAAAAACAGATATACACACAAATAAATTTATCCAGTTTAAAATTATCACGCCTGCCCTGGACACTAGACGGACAACTTGTGTCCTTCGGTTAGGAACTGGCGTATTTTAAAGACCAGCCAACACAATATCTGTACATGAATATATGAATATAGTTTGTTGATGTACTATGTTGCTTTTCTTTGAGAAATAATCATGAACATACAATTTTGTTTGTTGCTATTTAGTACACGTATGAAAAAGAAATTAAGTAAAAAAGGCAGTGAGAAGAACTACATCTACTTTGGAATTGGAATTTTACTATGTTCTTAGATTACACCATGCTGTCAGATTTTCAAGAAATACGGTATGGACATTAAGTTTACTCAACTACAATAAAATTTGTCTACTTACAAACAATATGTTCGAAGAACGGCCACGTCACTAACGTTTTCGCTGCCCGGCAAAAGACTCTAAGCGGTGGCCACGCCGCTGAAAACCAGGGATCCAACGGCGTCTTGTTCCTCCATCTCAAGGTCAAGGAATCGTATACGTTAAGAAACTCTTCTTGCGTAAGCTGTCCAGAGTTTGATTTATTTAATTGACGAAACATCAAAACGACATCTCTCAATCCTATAAAGAAATATAAAATCATAAAACAAACAACAAACATTTAAAGTTAAATAAATTAAAATGAATTGAAAGGATTTTATTGGATATTTTTGTAACTTACGTGTCTTTGGTGCATAATATCGCATCAGTCCGTGAAATTGCTTAAATCTGATATGATTCGGTGATTGCTTGCTGACAAGAAGTCTAAAGGCGAGTTTGCAAGCTTGTCTTTTATGTAAAAGGAGCTTTCTGAATTTATCCTTTTCAATTCCCGTGAATGTTTCGTATACAACGGCAAGCATCTGCAAATAAAAGTATAAAATAGTTACATGACACTGAAACATTCATATTACTCAACAAAATAATGTAGCGCAAATATAGATTAAGAATTGACGTGTGTTGACTATTTGAGATCTTTGTCACGGACATAGTTTATAACAATTGTTATATTCAATATAAATTTACAGGGTAAATGTAAACAGCTAGTATATTATCTATGCAAATAATAAAGAATAAATAGTCAGGTGATTATAAAGTTGAAAGACTACAACTCCTTAGAGGTGTCGTAGAAGTACGGATGGATACGTAAACTTTAAACCTTGTTATATAGTGTGGAAACCACTTATGGAATAAAATTGTTTGTGTCCTTATTTTAGAAAATAATAAAAAAACGTTGAGATACCTTAACTTTTAAATTTAAATGCGCGCTTTATAAACATAAATTTGAATATACACGGTGATCCACGCAAGTATGTATCCATCTGTATTTTAAATTAAACACCCTGTATATTTTTATGTTTTTAAAAGCTCCTTAACAACCTGAGTTGAACGAACTATTAAGTGTAATTTTAAGTATAATTTTCTATACTTAAAATTATATAATATAGTATAATTTAAAAATTAAGTATAATTTTCTTCAAAACAATTAATTCATAGAATATCCGAGGTAATTGATTGGATTACATTAAAATAAATGCTCAAAATGTTCTCCACATTGTTATTGGCAATAACACAGTCCCCTATAAAACTCGTCCTGAACTTTGTTTAAAGTTTGAGGTGAAATATTCCGTATTTCTGTAGTTTCTTTGAGGTCTTCAATGCTAGTTGGTTGTGTTGCATATAGTTTGTTCTTGTTGAGATAACCCCAAATAAACAAATCCAAAGGCGACTAAGATTTGGCGACCTAGCTGGTCACTCAATAGTACCCCTTTGTCCAATCCATTTATTGAAGACGATTTCATTCAAGTAATTTCTCACCATGAAAGGATAATGGGGTGTTGCACCGTCCTGCTGGAATCAGACAGTTTTATGCGATAGGGTCGGATCTATTGGATTGGGATATAAGTTAGCCAGCTAAGGAAAAACATCGTCTCTTAGCATGCTTAAATATTTTTCCGTTGTCAAATTACCATCTACAAATATAGGACCAATAATATGATCTCCTATAATACCTGCCCAAACATTCAACTTTTGAGGATACTGAGTGTGCCGATGAGGTTTCTCCGCTGACCAATATCTACAGTTTTGTCGGTTTACCTCTCCGTTCAATGTAAATGTTGATTCATAAAAAAAATTGTCCAAGAGCTATTTCATTTGTGTTAATTTTATCCATCATTCTTTCGCATAAATCCATTCTACGATCTAGATCGTCTTCTGTTAGCTCCTGCACAAAAGTCAACTTATATGGATTAAGTTTTTTCTTTATGGAGATACCTTACGACAGTTGTGTGACTCACATTATTTTGACGTGCAATTTGACGTGAACTTGACTTTGGATTCTCTGTGACACTTAACAAAACAATAAGGTTCGGTTTTCTTTTTAATGGTTTGACATGTCCAAGTTCTCTGAATTGTGTATAAATTTTAGACACAGTACCTTGTGCAATATTAGGCAACTGAGGATACCTCTGTTTAAATAAGTTTGCTACTTCAACTTGACTTCTACAATTCTCCCCGTAAACCGATCATCATTAAAATCTCAATTCGGTGGGTCCCAGTTAAATATTTCATTTTTATTTCTGCAAGAAATTAGCTTTTAATTAGGAATTCATTATTTTAATGTAAAATGTGAACACACCAACAACTGATTAATAACAATCCGCATTATTTACCGATTTAGTTTAATTAGCAGACTATCTAGACAGCTTTTACCTATTCATGACACAAAATGTTAACACGGTTACTAAACAGAAATTTTCCCCAATATACTGACACTTAGAGTAGAAGTGTATTGTCTGTATTTAGCTAATTTAAGCTAATACCATAACACGTGAAATCATTAATTTCAAAATTTCATTTCAATCATACAAAGGACACAAACAATTCTATTCTATAAGTGGTTTCCACACTGTATATAAACCTCTATACTTACATACAGGTAACTTGTAATACACATGTACAAAATTTGGTTCATTATGCTTAGTATTGGCAGAATTAATACTTAACAACCTATAACAACTGTAACATTGCTTCTTTCTTGTTTTAGTGGTTAAACAACATTTTACCACGGACCTCTTGATGGACTGTAGTTGTAGAACCCGAAACTGGCTGTCCACAAAATCAACTGTAGTAGCAGTATTTTTCTTTTTGTCTTGTGAAAATGGACTCACATTTACAAACAATTCATTATACTACTATTGCATCACCTTCTATTGGAAATTGTATTACCTGTTTCAGTATATGACCAGATATTCCGTTGCACACCGATTTGATCTCAAGACCGTCTGAAATGGATCAAGAATATTGCATCTATCGAGATACCACATCTCATGCCTCTATTCACGATTTTTCCAGCAGTTTATAGATTATACTGAGGGGCGCGAAATAACGTTTTTGCACCTGGAAGGACCAGAATGTTTCCATCGGCGATATGATTGGAAAGTGGGCATTCAGCATGTGGTGTATTGCGAATCGTTTGTGGCTTTATGTGTGACTCCGGCGCCATCTATCGTTCGCATTTAGTCATAATACTGGACGTCTTTTATTACATAATCGTATATTGAGTTAATTAAATATAAATAATGAATATAAATAGCTAAACAAAAGTTTCTATTACTTATTGATATTAGTATTCGAAAATATTTGGTTTACTTATATTAGAAAAAAATTCGAAAAGATAAGTACCAAAGCTTCATAAAATTCCATTTTTATTACTCAGTTGCGTCAAATAACACAAAAACTTACAGTTCTATGTGTCAAAATATGAAAAACGGAAATATTTTGCGATATAAGAAAATTACTGTTCATTTGTAAGTTGTAATTCAATATGGCAGTCTTAGGTTACTTGTAACTTTAATGACCAAAGCGAGTCAGATTTTGCGTTTTGGAATTATTGTTATACATCGGCAGTGTCAAATAAAATTACGTCTATGTGTGTTTTATTTATCATCCAGGAGTTGTCGAAGAATATTTTTCCTCTCTACTTTTTACATTGGTCCTTTGAGCCGGGTCTAACCGGCGACCTATAGATAAAAAGAAGTGCCGGGCGTTGTGTATGTATTTGCTCCTTGAGTCGGTCTGAACGTTGTCGCCACATCTAATTAGCTGTGTGCAAATTTATTGCCGAGGAATGGGAAAATATTTAATTTTCACCCAGTTCTACCATCAAGAGTGACTTTTGTCATGCAGTAAATTCCATATACTCGTTACAATACATTTGATCGAATTATTTAATTTTTCATTAGTTAACTGATGCCGTTGAAATGTTTATCATTAAGCCTGCCCAGAGAACCCTCGACATAATTGACGTTTACGGCACTCAATTGTTATTTTAAGATTTTAATAAACCATTCTCAAAACACTGTTATACATTATATAACAACTACTAAAACTACTCTAAAAAATAGTAGAACAAAACAGAATTCCTCAAGAATGGAGACCAAGCATCCCAATACATCTCTTCAAAAAGAGAGAAAAATCGGACTCGGAAGATTACAGAGGAATTAATTTGTTCAACACACTAAAATTAGCAACCAAAGTAATAACAAATAAACTGAATGAAATTATAACACTGGCAGAAGAACAACAACGTTTTGGGTCGGGAAAATCATGCACCAACGCTATATTTATAATGAGGCAAGTGCAAGAGACATAATTAGTATACAACAAACCGGCATATCTATGTCTCGTGGACCTTAAGGAGGAAATTGACCGGGTCAAATTAAAGGACGTTATCCACTTATTGTACGCAAGAGAGATTACCTTTAGGAATATTCAAAACGATCGAAAATATCTACCAACACGACACAATAGAAGAACTAAATGACCATATTAAAGCTGGCAATAATATAAGACAGGGAGATTCCGTGAGTCTTGTATTGTTCAATCTGACTATGGATGAAATAATAAAAAAGTAAGAACTGAAAAAGGATTCCAAATGGGAGCAAAACAACTTAAAATAACCTGCTATACAGACGACGCAATACTATTCTCTCCAAGTGAAGATGATTAACAACGTATGCTGCACCAATGAAGTGAAGATGATGTACAAAATTGAACATGTTAACTTCCCCAAAAAAGACAAAATGCATGGTTATAACATCCAATTTACTAAGATGTAAATTTGAACTGGAAGGTCAGATAATAGAACAAGTGATGGGCATCTAGGCATATCTAGGCAATATCTAGGCAGATCAATAATCACATACGTGGCAGAAACTCGATCTGACACAGAGATGACAAAAATAATGTTAAAAACAGCAGAGATGAAAACACTTGGGCAAAATCGATGCTAAAACATTAAGGGACATATCTAGAAGTTCTGGTATACCACGTAGATGCAAGGTGGAGAACATTACGGACTGGGTAAGAAATAGAGACGTAGAATAGAACGATCATATAAGCCGAATGACAACAAATAGAGTAGCAAAGGCGGCAAAAGACGGTTCCCCAATAGGAAGACGTTCAGTAGAAAGACCAAGAAAACGATGGAACGCTAACTTACTGGAGGCACATTGAAAAACAGACAGAGTTATGTCTACATAAAAAGGAGAAGAAGAAGAGTGTTATATAGGTTTATGCTGTTATAAAAAATGTGTTACACTCGTATTTTGCCTTTCTTAATGTGCCTCAAAGGTGCTCAATGAGACGGGAGTTCTGGATTCGTTGTGGCTGGATTTCTATATCATGATTAACTATTTTTACACGATTTATACGAAAGAAAAAATTTTATCCCACATAAATATACACAAAAGCTAACAAATATCTTTGATTAAAAATTTTACACAAGTGTCATCGACAGAAAATATTCAGGAGGAAAGTTTCACATATTTCCTAGATGTACTACAATTTGAGTTAAATGGTTATTGAAAATGTACTCACCAAATTCATCAATACGTATAGAACAGTCGAAATATAAGAAATGAAAAAGGCAGCAGTCCATTTTGAAATTGCATACGAAGGCATCATTACATCTGGGAAACTGAAAGAGAAAATAAATAATAATAATAACGAAAACATAATTAGATGGAACGAATTTTATAAATAATACAATAATACCGGTAAATGTAAGTAATTAATTTCTCTCTCCCTCACTTACTTAGCCAGTCACTCACTTATTCATTCAGTCACTCCCTCATTCGCTCACTTAGTCACTTATTTATTCACGTACTCGTTTCCTCACTTAGCCAGTCATTAACTCACTCACTCATTCGCACCCTCACTCATTCGCACCCTCATTTCCTCACTCGGTCATTCGGCTCCTTATTCATTTGATCAGTCAGTCATTCATTCACTAACTAGTCCCTCACTTAAGGTCAATTCAGACACATCAGTCCCGTCATAGTCTCGGCGCCGAACCGGTCCTGTTTGGTCACAGAACTATCAACTATCTGACAGCTGGGAAACTGTTCGTCGCCTGATGAATGTGAATGCCGGCGCCATATTTCTATTAAAGAATATTTTGTATGACGGATTGTTCGGTTCGGCGCCAGGACTGTGACGAGACGTGACTGATATGTCTGAATCGACCTTTATTCATTCATTCGGTCATTCACTCACTTCCTTAGTCCTTTTTCCACTCGCTCACTCGTCCCCTTTCTAGGCTTCGTGCATTCATAACTGGACATAAATCTCATTCAGCACTCATTCCAAGCTATAACATAATAATAAATTAGGAATACAGAATAAGTAAATGATATGTTTATAACTATATAAAAATAAAATATATATAAAAAAAACTTCTAAAAACAAAACAAAATTACATTTTATTAAAGAGATGGATTTTGTTGTTAATTCAACCAAAACGAACATGTACTTACTTGGCTGTGGTCAGCAGCACAAACATACTGACAAAACTGTCGCCTAGCGTCCTAAAATAAAGATTGGTTTCGTGCCCGCTGAAGAGAAAGTAACCTAAAAGGGCATAGGAACATACGAAGAACATCAACAGTCCCAACATGTCGAGAATCGGAGGCAGAGACTGTAATATCTGTCTGATGTATCGGCGGACGCCTCCGCAGGCTCTTGTGTCAACCAAGAAGATCGGTCTTAAAGCTCTGGTTACGCGGAAGTGCGACGATTGACGAACTAGTACGGCAATTGCTTCGAGGACCATTATAGAGAGAGTGACACACTGGAAACAAAACGATAATATATCATCATGTATTTGATATTTCCTCATTTAAAATAATATAGCTGAATTATAGGTATCGTTTAAAGTATTTATGGAATCATCAAACGTCATTTATAATGAAGTGCTATTTTCATCTCTAGTTATCAGACTGCTCTCAAACCATTGAAAGATCGGCATTCATTCAGTGGCGTATCTGCTAGGTGAAAATTATTGCTAAGTCTTAATCTGCTATTCAGACTGGATACTTTTAAAATATGCACGGTGAAACTTCATCATAACTCATGATACTATAACAAAACAATATAAGTAAACGCGCACGTTCTTGTGACGTAAGCTTGAGACAACTTTAATGATGGCAAGTTAAATGCTCATAAGTGTTCATGTTAATTATGTTGCTGTGTTAATCGAGTTTGCTATCCTGTGTATTTCAAAATGTAGTGAATGATATTTTTATTTATTCATTGATGTAGTAAAGACTTTGTATATTATATAAATTTTGTGGTGAAAACATTCAGTTTACTGTGTTATATCACCTAATTTGTTTATCGTACGCAACTCCCTCTCAACTACCTGTAGCTACTTTATAAAGAAGACTAATTATTATATGTTTGCCATAATGTATTGTGCAGTGGTGGGTTGTTTAAAAAATAACTTTTTTAAAATTTTGGTTTTAGACACACTTTGACAGCAGAGCAAATGTTTCTATAGATAATAATATATGTTTCTATAGATAATAATATATAGTAATGCCCATTTTAATAGAACTTGAAGTAATACTTTATTTTTGATAGGTTATAAAAAAAAAGTTACTTTGGATGTATGTAGTATGAAGTGAACTGGAACATATTTTTCGTAGTTATAATGGCGACACATTAAAAATAACAAAAAAGTATTTAAAAAACTTCATAGAAGCTGCAAAATATGTAAATGTTAGCGAAGGAGTAAAATTACTTTTTTTAGATGTAAAATGTATTTTAAAATACGAATTCTAAATAAAAATATTAAAGATAATTACAATATCCGCAAGAGAAAATTCACAAAGATTGTAAAATAAATGTCTAAATGATTTCATAAAGTCTCAAGTATGACCCGCTTTTCCTTTATGGCCAAATTCTTTACATTTTACCGGCCTTTTATATTTATTTTTGGTTTGTACCAATATTTATTTTGTTTGTAATACACACAATCAAATCGTAGATTCATAGATTTCTATAATTAATTTTACAAATTACTTATTTATTTTCAAACCACGTTTTCACAGAAAGTAAACTAGTTATGACTTCTTAGTGCAAGATATGGCATCGAGGTATACTTACCGTTAACAGTTTAAGTTTCGAAGTTGTTCATTACAGTAATGGAACAACGTGGCCATATGATGCATCGTTAAAATATGATACACACAAGTCCCCTAGTTTTGTCTCGCTATGACGTCATGCGCAAAGTCGATCAAAATTAGAACGGCAAGTGAGCATATCTTGTTTTTTTATAGTATCATGACCATAACTGATGCTTGCTATATATAATTTAACGCGTGTCTTGTAAAAGAAAAATAACGTTCTATACTTTTATATCCTTCTCTTTCTACAAAGGAATGGCGTTCCTTTGTAGGAAGATAGTAAACTAGGATATCGATTAGGATTATTGACAAGTACAGAGGAGTACAAGGAGAATTTCAAAGTATAGAGCCATCGAAAAACTCGTAATTAGAGCAGAGCTTGGAATAAGCCTTTCCTTTTCGACGGTTATTCACTATCAAACAAGGTGTTCCAAATATAACCTAACCTTGTTTGCCATACTAATTTATGCCCGTATTTGCCAATTTCTTTCTTGCTTTTATTAAAATCCCAATTTAAAGAAAATCAGCTCAGAGAAAACAAGCTTAAGCCATATTTGTTATTTTTGTAACATATATAGGAGAAAAAAACTTAGAATAGAGTAAACACTTCTGGTGTATATGGTGTAATTATAAGACTACTAAAATATATATACTAAAGTAATGAAAATATCCAAAAGGATTACAATTTTCATTAGAACGTTTTCGGTCGTACCAGATTATCATCAGTGAAAACTTGAGCATTTGCAAATAGCCATTTTAAAAGGTGTAAAAACACTGATCCTTACTCGAAAAGGAAACCACGAGTTGGTCTGACCAAAGAAACCATCCAACTGAGTGGAAGAATGAGGAAGTAAAATTAACTGTAAAATAACAATGTATTCAAGACAAAAGTGACAGTTTAGATATAAATAAAAATTAGTAGTTAAGAAAATGTAACGCTCACTATGTGGTACAGTTGGTACCAAATGCAAGTATACTATTGCTTTAAATTTTAAAGTGATATTTGTTTATAATAAAATATGAAATTGTTCATGTTCAACATAACAATTATAAATGCGTATGCGCCAACTGAAGACACCGAAGAGGATATTATATGATCACATATTCTTTCTATGATCTGCTACAACCTGAGAATGTGAATAAGCACCCGGACATGACCTTATCATTTTACTCGCGGATTTTAACGCAAGAATTGGAAAAGAAGAGCATTATAGGGATCTTACAGAACAACACAGGCTACATGATGTAACGAGTCCCATGAAGAAAGATTATATCAACTAGCCCAAGCTCAAAATCTGATAATTAGCAGTACTTATTTTCTTGTAAGTAGTAGGCAGTAGAGATTGTAATCAGATTTACTATGTACTAATTTCAGAGATGGGCCTCGTCTATTTAAGGCGTACGTTCCTATAGAGGAATAAATCTCGATAGAATTGGCAACATTCAGAAGGCTGTGGGATTTAAGCAACAAAAATGAAATATAAGGAAACTAGGTTACGAAGCAAATCTGACAGTTGTTTAAAAATGCGATAAATGAGTTGAAAACATATCACGAACAGAACATGTATAACTAGAAACAAGAAATAACGAGTAGGAACACAACACGAACTGAAGATAAGCAAAAAAATGTGTGCATAAGAAAAAAACGAGAAGTGAAACTTAAAAATAAAAGAGATGGAGACGACCAACTAAATAAAAAGCAATATAGAAAATTATATAGGGATGCAAGATAACTAAAAAAAGAGTTTAAACCTAAAAATAGTGAAATATTTTGTAAGGAAAAAGAAAGAAATACCCTGACTGATGATAAAAGCATTATAAGCAGATGAAAAGAACATTTCCATGAGCAACTAAATCATCAGAATGCAGAAGAGGAGGAAAATGCACATGTAGTCCTATGAGCTGTTTTGGGAGAATAGTAGCTGATTTAAAAAAAATAGAGACCAGTGCATGGTTTTAATGACCCAAACATGGGATGAATATGAATTCCTGAAGAATGGAAATAGGTCTAATACTCCCTCCTCATTCACAAGAAAGTAAATAAGTGAGAATGCTTCAATTATAGAGGTATTATGTTATTAAAAAATATACAAAGTGTTTTATTCTCTCCATATAACAAAAAATTTGACCAAACCGATCTACTAGTGATCACATACAGTTGGTGAGGCATAAGAACTACGAATACAAAATCGATATAAACAGTTTATCAATTTCAAAAAAGCCCTTGAGACTATAAACAGGTACATGGAAGCCTGATCATTATGTGTATACTCAGGTTGGTACAGCTTACTTTCACTGACATCAAAGCAGCTGTAGAGATACAAAATATAAAGACTGACAACGTTGAGATCCAGAACGGTATAAGACAAGGAGACGCCCTCTCAGCGCTATTGTTTAACCTTTTACCGTATGCAGCAATATCCAAAGTTAACATAGGCGGAAACCTTAACACATGGGATGACGCCAAGATACTTAGTCGTAATGAGACAGCATTAAAGGAGACGCGCGATCTAAAGATCTTGAGAGAGCGACACGATATGTAGTATTGAGCATAAATCAGAACAACAATTCATATATGTTTAGGTCAAGGAGGAGAGGAAACAATAGAAACTTCTTCCAAAGAGGACTCCACAAATTTGAAAAGGTAACAGAGCTCACGTACTCAGGATTCCTAGTAACCAAAAGTAATTATGTAAGTGCAGAAATAAAAAAAAACAGAATAAGCAAACGAAGCAGGGCATATTCCGCAAATAAAAAACTGCTAAGATCTAAAATACTAGGACTGAATTCGAAGATACAATAATGGTGCAAAACACTAATAAAACTTCATCTAAATGTTACACAAAATTTATACATTTATTCGATATAAAATAAAAAAGAAAACACTCAGAAAATGGTCTGTAACGAGTTGTTGAAACAAGATTTGTAAGGTTAGTTGCCTAGATTTGGTAGAAAAGGGTTTAGAAAGGGTGTAACATAAACTATTTAAAGTGTAATATATACATACGTATGTATATATTGATATGAGTCGGTTAAGTGTACACCTGTGTATAATATGTATCAACTTAAGAAGCTACAATATATTTGGAAAACGTATAGTTCTGAATGGATTCTGAAACAGAAGACATATAGTTCTGAGAAGTGTTTAAAAAATTGGCATATTTTCGAGATTAAATTTTTGATACTTATATGATTAATCCAAAAATTTTAATTAATAAATACCTCAATACTTAAAATTGGAATCTCAGATAAATAGGAAATTGATTTAAGGGAGATTAAATGATATGAAGATGATCGATCACAGTTTTCATCAATCATTCTTTAAACTACTTAACAACTCGTTACAGAAGCTTTTCTGCGTTTTCTCTTTTTTCTTTTATATCGAATAAGTCTAGAAATTTTATGTGTATATATTAAGATGAAGTTACTATTAAATATAAATACATTTAATTCATCAAATATTATGATGTCATCATCTTCAAATAAATTCTTTTATTATTAATTAATAATTGTCTATCACATGCAGTTTTTTCAATTATCATAACCTTTCTTCTTCTTCATGTACCACGTCCTTTCATAACGGTGGTTACTATCATAGCTATCTTAATTGTATTCACTGCCACCCTAAATAGCATGCTCATATCAATACCATATCAATCTCGCAAGTTATTCAATGGAGTCTTTCTTCATCCTGGATTGCGTTTGCCTGCTATTTTCCCTTGCATAATATTTTGTAGCAATCTATATTTGAGAGCTCTCATTACATGTCTGAAGTACTCCAGCTTTCTCTTCTTGGTGCTTTTTATAATCTCAGTAGTCTTGCTAAAACGTTCTAGTATTGTGGAGTTTCGAATCTTCTCCACCCAAGAAACTTTTAAAATTTTTCTATAGCACGACATTTCGGAAGCCTCAAGGTGATTTAGATCATTTTTATTCACAGTCCAAGACTCAGGTTTTCCGTATTTTCAGATCCAGACCTCCTTCCTTACAATTCTCAACGAGACTGTCTAGGAATACTGTGTCGTCAGTATAAATGCTGAAAAGCAGGGGCGACAAGAGGCATCCCTGTCGTACTCTTCTTTTAATATTAACAGCCTGTGATTCCAGGCCGTCTAATAAAACCGATGTTATTTGATTCCAATATAAATTTGCAATTATGCGATCGTTTCTGTCATTCAAGCCAATGTCTCTTAGAACTTCGATCAATATAGAGTTTTCGAAGTCAGTAAAACCACAATACATGTCTACAGATCTATCACGACATCTTTGAGCAAGTATGTTTATTCCAAACAATGCCTCTCTCGTTCCAAACCCGTTACGGAAACCAGCCTGTGTGTCACTTGGGTATTCCTCGCATTTATTATAGACACGGCCATGTATTATTACCTTTAGAACAATTTTCAATAAAGGGCTTAACAAACTGATGGTTCTATACACAGGTAGAGCTATGAACAATGAATTGGATTAACCATTAGGTAGGTGTCACCTTACAATACTTTACAATACAACCCAACACCAGTTTGGGAATCTTAAGTTACCATAAAGTAAATTCCGTTTAAAACTTAAACATCCTATAATATTATCAGCAAAAATGTAATTTAAAACTAATTTAACATTTAAAGGGTTTTTACCCGTATATTTAGTGGCTTCACACATGTATGCCTAGTAAGTATTAAACCACATTCGCTTTAACTTAGTCAAAATTCAACCTTTACTTTTGTTTTAATTAAAGTGGTAATAGTTATTCCAGGTAAAAGCACTGATGATGGAGTAGTCATTCCAAAAACGTTCATTGATGTAACCCGAAAGGGTTCTTTTAAATAAATATACCTTTTATAAAGGATTTTTTAATTAAAATTTTTGAGATATAAATAATTTCATAGCCCTGTTAAATTACGATTTTTTGAAGGCTCTATATAATTAAATACAAAATAAAAACTTACCTTAACCATAGTTCTCTTGTGCTTCAATATGGTTCTCCACCCAATCCACCTCAATTTCAACATCAATTCTACTCCGATCACACCGAGAGCTACCAGTTCCAAGGTGCTATGAATTGCAACCGGAAACTCGAATGTGTCTAAAGATGGTTGTTCGACCATCGCCAACATTAAAAGTACCAACGAGAAGAAAAGATCAAATCCATAGTACCAGGAATTATGCACAAGAAGATAGGCAGGCAGCGCTCCTGGGTGACGCGGATGTGAATCGAACTTTTCATTGTTTGCTCCTTCCTGAAAATAAAGTCAAATTCAAATCGAGTGCCGAAGAATAATTTCTATACTTCGCTTAGAAATTATTGTTAGTACAGTTTTTATGGCACACTTGATAACTTGTAATAATATAAACCATTGACGAAGAATTTCAAAATTATTTAAAAATTTCTTGTCACAGATGTTGCAGTAACTTTAATAAACCAATAATGTGGTTTCTAGGTAGATGTACCTAAGATTCTTTATATGGATTAAACAGTCAGTACTGAACCAAGTATCTATCGGAAGGATCACAGGATGGTGAGAGCTTGAGTAGGTATGGGTATAACTATAAACGTCAAAACGGAAAGATCGTGAATGATAAAAAAACTAAAAGAAAATATGTTAAGATCTAAATAGCTTACAGAAGTTCGAAAAAACTGCTAGGGCATTAGGAAATACAAAGACAACAAACGAACACCGCTCAAAGCGTGACAATGAGAATTAAATCCACTTCCATACCAAAACATTAATAGAACAACAAAGAGAGTTAAATCGCAACAACCTAGCACCTCAAGAAATAAATTCTATAAACAAAGAAGAATTCGGAATGACATTAGACACTACAATAAAAAGCCGATAGAACAAACAATCGAACAAACTCAAAGCATGAAAGTTCTGAGAAGAAAGCTAAATAGCGACAGAAAAAAAATTATAAAGATGATACACATACAAGGTGAAACAACATCTAACAGAAATTAAATCCTTACCACAGTAAAATAAAAGCTACCATAGATACAAAGCACACCCGAAGAGATAGAATAAAGAAGGGAAGTGGTTAACCAGGATTCAGAAGACATACCAGAGATTACTAAAGACGAAATAAAACATAGTTTCAAAAAGTAGTATAAAAAAGGGGGCCGTACGAATTCGAAAACTACAGAGTCGTTCCCCATTTGCATAAAATTTTTACCAAAATAGTCACTTATAGAGTAAAAAAACTAAACATCTATCAACCAATAGAACAAGCCGGTTTTCTCTTAGGTTTCGGTACCAATGATCATCTTATAGCGCTAAAAACCTTAGAATAAAACCGTCTACTAGTACTAGTTTCTGTGGATTTCCAAAAGGTTTTCTATACGATAGAATCAAACGGAATAATCAAAGCTCTAACCCAGTGTCGTGTGGATTAGAGATACATCCGCTTAATTTATAACATCCATAGAAATCAACGTCGCAGCAGACAAAAAAATGGCGATAAGCAGCAAAAAAATCCTCAAAGAAACATGGGTTTCTCCAGATATGAAAACAAGAAATCAGATCGACCACGTCTTAATAGAAGCAAGACATGCTTCAGACATTTCAGATGTGAAAAATCATAGAGGGGCAAATAGCAATTGCGATCACCAACTTCTGCTAATTATATATAAAAAAAATTAACGCCAAGGAAATACAGAAAGGTAAAAAAATATCAAATATGCTTCAGATATATTGGCCTCTAATGATGAAAAAAGGGCAAGATATGAAACAAAAATAGAAAAGATATATAAAAGATAATTATTATTGTATCTTATATGACAATGACTATCGGAGCCTAATAAAACAAAAAATCAAGCTAGGCTTAAAATGCTGATCGGCAGTACGGAAGAAATCAAAGAGGAATATATTACAGGTAGACGACAATTAAAAAAACCTCTATGATTTAGAAAGAGGAAAAAAAATAAAGAAAAGATTGAAACGCTAGAAGAACATGAGCAGAAAAATGATATAAAACAATTCTATAAGAAAATAAATTTTGAGAAAAAAGGTTTCCAACTAAGAACAAAATTATGCAAAGACAAAAATGGTGAGCAGAAAAAGCAGTACTAAAACGGTGGAGAGGCAAGATTTGTCGGACAAGCTGATCCACCAAGATAAATGAAAAACAACAAGGCCCTAGGATGCAAATGTTAGAATATGGAGTACATAGATTACAGAGTGAAATATCAAAGTTAATACTAGATACATAGAATACAGAAATAATGCCGGAAAATTTCAGTTATATGCCCTACACATAAGAAGGAGGATGAGTTAGATGGTAACAATCTCCAGTGAATATCACTATTTAATGTTGAATACAAAATATTTAGTGAAATAGTGAAACAAGCTGAAATAACATCTAGAAAGCTACTTGAAATTAAGATTAAAGATAGCCAATTGAAATTAGTGGTTCAAAAGAACAACTCAATAAGATAAATTCTTAATTTTTCAATCATTTGCTAAATAACGGAGGGAAGTTTTTAAATTATCACCATGCATTCACCCTATTTGGTATATTATTTTTTATCGGATTTCATTTCATTCCTTATTTACTTTCATGCTATGCCTCTGTGTGTCATATAATTCTTAATGACTTTTATGTAATTTATTTTTAAAATACCAGTATATTTACAGACAGATAGCAGAATACCTAAAAAATATGTTCAATTACAAATTTTATTGTTACAACACTAAAAACTATTGACCTTGAAACAATAACAACTAATAACATTTATACATTAGCATAAAACAATATACATTTTGTTACAGTTAACATACTCTATATAAATATTTACATACCTGAAATTGTAAAATGAATAAACATGAAATATATTTTTGGAACTAGCACAATTTTTTGTTAATCTGTTGTGATAAACTAATATCTTTTCATTTAAGAAAACCAATTACCACTTTTGTTCCAAAGTTTATTGTTTACAAAGATTTCCTTATGCCTTAAAGAGAGGGCTTATGCCTTTCAACTTCTCATTTATTGTGGTTGCTTATCTATTTCTTACCATTTTTCTGGTCTGCACTAATTTCTTCAATTGTTTTTCTTCTTTTTTTTTATTTCGATTATTCCATCTATACATTTTATCTTTGGCCTAATTTTTTCTTTTCTTCCTCCTCTTTTGTCCTATTATCCTATCAGTCAAATTGTTTTGGTTTTTCCTTACTAGATATTTGTACCAGTCCAACTGTTTCTTCCCAATTTTTTATCCATTTTAGTCTTCCAAAGATCCTTCTAAGATATATATTTTCATAGCTGTTATTTTTGTTTCATGTTTTTCTGTAATATCCTGGCTTGGCTTGTTTATAATTCATTTCAACAATAATCTCTTTACAATGTCCATTCAAGTAGTTATACATAATGTCGACTTTACACTATATGATTTATCATGTGATTTGTCATATGATTTGGTCATAAAGTCAAATTTCTATGTTCACACTGTGTGATTTGTCATATGATTTTGTCATAAGCACTGTCATGCGGCTTATCATAGCTTCTCACAGGAGAATAGGACGGTACCTATTCCGCATGATAAAATCATATGATTTTTGGTAAAAATATCGGTAACACCAGCATATTTAAATATCGCGCCTTATTCTTATGTCAACTACCGAGAGACAACATTCTTTATTTATTTATTTTTTGTTTTTGCATTGTTATTGAGCCTATTGTCTAATCTGTGCTACTGGGTCGTATTTTTCTTTTATTATTTATTTAGTTTATTTTATGCTTAGTTTAGTGTTTTATAGTCATCTTAGTCATAATTTTAGTTTAGTTTCTTTATTAATTAATTTTAATTTGGTATAATACCAACACTAAATTTGATATACCCCGTCCACTATTTCTTCGTAAGTCACCTGCGAGGCCAAAGGCGTCTTATCTTTTCTTCTTACTATTAGATGGACGCAGTTGTTGCAGGCGTATTATTATTAAAATTTCAGAAGCCAATGCAAGCAAATATTTATTTTCCATTATAATCACATTTATAATAGTTTAAAAATCTAATAGTTGTTACCTAAACTATGTCTAATATCTCTATGACCAGAAACAAAATGAAAAATCAATAAAACCTCATTGTTACTCATATCATAAGTCATAACTTATCATTCAGTGTAAACAAGATTTTTTAAAATATCATAGAAACGAGGAATCATAACAAATCTCATATGATTTTGTCATATGATAAAATCATGTAGTGTAAAGTCGACTTAAGACTGTCAAAAATTTTAGGGCTGGTCAACATTAATGAGACTAAGATAATGTTTTACAATATTTCCTGAACCTGATTTAAAAACAACTGCAATAAAACTTTCTCTACATATGTCTGGAAATGTTCTAGAGATGAGGCATAAATTAAAAAGTTTATACAATGGCTGAGATGGTGAATATATAAATGTTACATTTACACAATGGCTGAGATGGTGAATATCTACATGTTAGTTAGACAATGGCTGAGATAGTGAATATCTACGGGATATCTTACTGTGTTATATGACACAATAGTGTTGACACACTGAGTTGATACAATAAGCTGCATCAGTGTTGCTGTATCAACACCCAAAAATTTAGTGTGTTACCCATCGTTAGTAAAGATCATTAAAAAATCCTGGTGGTATATTACACTTGCATCACTACATTTGATCCTGATCATTTACATACAGCTCACTGATCTTAACATGGCAGAAAATAAGACACTCCCTCAAGTTGCATGTTCACTAGAATGCTTGTACATTTGACATTGAAAAGATTAGCACCATGACCACATTATAGAGAAGTGAGAACAGAAACAGTTGTTCAAAGTGAGCTTTGATCTTCTTGATGATTGAAGTCAGTAACTGACTTCTTACCAATATCAGACCACCTCCTCTGTTTTTGTTGTAAGTTGCACATTTTATCAACAAGAAATATATCTTAAATGGTAAAGCTGAGTTCCTCAGAAAAGATGTCCTTGTTCAATTAGCTCTCTCTGTTAACAATAGTATCATATATCTTGAACAATTTAACATTAAATTCAACTCTACAATCTTGATACAAAGCCTCTTGTTGGTGCAATGAAGTATCAGCTGGTTTTTCTTCTTGTTGTGAGAAGAGTTACTAGCCTGGTTGTCCTTTATTAATAATTAAGGTCATGTATTAATGTAATAAGTGGTATAGCTATCATTTTCCTCCACATTCTTAGCTTGATTTTTTGGAATTCAAAATTATTTCTATTTATGACATTTTTAGTAAAAATAAAAGTTTCTCCTCTTGAGCACCCCTACTAGCGCACTCTATGAAAGATCTACATTTAAATGCTTCTAGTTTTCCTAAGAATAATCTTATTTTATTATACATACTTTCTCAATCATCTTAATAGTGTTTAGTGTAGTAACATTTTAGCCTTAATATTGCATATTTAGATTAATAAGCAAATAGTCTGGTACCCTAAAGAAGGACTCTTACATATTTACCTCTAGAAATATAGCTGCTTCGTGGAAATTCATCTCCCATTGATCCATATCTCCGATATCGTCTCTACTGAGACTTGATCTACTTCCCATCTCATCAATCGGGTCTAAAACAGAGCAAAATTAGCAATTAGAAAGTTTGTAACTTTGGAGAAAAGTTACGTAGAAACATTGTTTCAAACACTTGCACTATCAGAGATAAAAACCAAGACTACTCACCAGATTCATCTCAAATTTTATTTAACTAGAGATGACATATGATAGGATTATCAACAATAAGACATATCTCTGGTAATATGCAAATATTGAGGTTAATATTTAGTAAACAAATGATTTACATTAGTCACTGATAAGGCTTATCACTAGCGTACTACTTACTTGATGTATTCGAGCCATACGACACATTGTGTATATCTTCTGTAAATCTTTTATAACCGTCGTCATCAGGAGAACCTCTACTCGTGGAAGCCATTAAGACATTCACAGCTGTCAAATATACGCCTTTAATTAGATCATACCTATTTACACTTCGCTTCGCAGGTTGCATATATTTGGATTATCGCGAAAACAAATTTATATATTTATATAAAGATTTATTAAACTTTCATATTAATTTGCAAGAGTAAATTAAAATAACTGATAGGGTAATATTTTTAACAAAATATTTTATTGAAATATTTAAAATTACAGCAAGTACTCATACATATGGAATTGTTTATCCATGTAGTAAATTTTAACACAGATAGAATGATAAAAATAAACTTATTGTTGTTGAATACTGTTTTATTTAAGATTTAATAACCAAATTCATTAAAAATTAGATGTTAATTTATGCGATACCTACGCAAGAATATACAATTGTATTAATTATTAAAAAGAGAATTTCAAGAAGACATAAGGATAATGCAAGCAAAAAATTTAATTATTAAAAAATTAAAAATCGCAAAAAAATATAAGATCAAATGAAAATTATTATTAGAATGATGTGAAAGAATCAGATACTTAGCAAAAAAACACTTACCAACTAAGTATATTTACAAAGACATTCGTTTGAGCGGTATTTTTCATTAAAGAATTTTTCATTAAAAAGAACAAGTGGGAGTAAGATAACCAAGTACTAATTACGTTTAATTGGTTTTTAAGCACTACTGTGTTTAAACATAAGCGTTATTCATTTATATGTGATTCAAATTAAAGATTCCCTTAACTTAAGGTTAAATATTCCTTATCTTTTAACTTGTTTTTCATATTACATGCATACATTTTTGTTATTTTCAAAACAAAACATTAAACTAAATTACGACAGCAGAAAATTCTTTTTGATAAGATCCAAATAATAGATACGGTCCCTGTATAGATAGATATATAGAAACTATTCATAAAAAAACCGTGTTTACTTTAAATAGCTGTAGAAATACCTGTTGTGTGAATTGCATCAAACATAACATTTCTTAATTTCATTTTTTCGTTATAATGATTGATGAATTAATAGAAATTACAACGACTACCTCAGTATATTTAATAAGCTAAGTAAATTTAATACTACAATTTGTTGTTTTATTGAAAATAGTAGAATAATAAAGAAATTTATTATTAAATAAAATTTAGTAAATTAAGTAGCGACCTAAAGTTAGATAACTTATATATCTATTAAGTGTTACACAGGTTGCCTATATACAAACGACAAAAGCACAAAAATCTGTTGAATTTGGTTTTTTCGGAAAAAGTAAGTTTAATAATTCTTACCATTATTGAACATAATACAATAATATTTTAACAAATGTATTTAAAATCACAGGTTTACTGTTCACTACACTTAATCACATTCTTACATTGTTTTCGTAATTTTGTTACGCTTTCTTGTTTCAACAAACTCTTTTTGAAACAGACTTGTTGGTCAATAAATAAATTGTACTGCATGGTCGATAGCTATTTCTATTTTATGTACCATTTTCTTTCAAATAAATTGCGATAATCATACCTATAATTGAAGACAAGATTGGATGAAGGTGCTATGTTACAAAATTCAGATTTTGAGAAAATTAGGGTTTAAGTTTTTCATTGTAAACTTGTACTTTTATTAGATAAAAACTTCTCTTTAAGTATATGGAATATGTTATTGACAAAAAGATTCTGTCTCAACAAAATTAAAAAAAAAACAGTACATAACACCCTCATTTACTGTAAAATTATAGAAAAAGTAAAACAACAAATACATCGTTTTATGGAAGATTCATGTATTAAAGAAAACTTATCTAACCGGTTGACAAGACATTATTGCTTAATATAAGAGGTAATAACAGTTTATTAATACTATATTTGTTTTTTAAGATGGGTTCATAGAAATATAGATATTCTAGTTTTACACACTTTCTGATGGAGATTTTTCTTTTTTCTTCAGAGATAATTACATATTTCTCCTGAACTCGTTCAATTTCAATATTCCTATTTTGAAGAATATTCACTTTTCTAAACGGAACTGTTTCGTTGTATGATTCCTTATAAAAATAGGAACCATACTCTTCTACTCTGATCCATTTAATACCATCTCTAAATCTGACTGTTTCAATTAGTTTATCCTTTTTTTTTTCTATTAATAAGTGCTTTTCAAATTATTTCCCGGTATGTTTCTGGTATATATACTGTCGTGTTTTCGTAAAACCTTCTTTATTCTTCCAAAACCTCTGTCACAGTCTAAGTAGGTACGGCCAACCTTAACCTCAAGAAATTTGTGGTCAATACAACAGAATTATCCCTATAAAATAAGATACTAATAAAGGAAAATCATGTGGAAGTTCTTGTTCTGGTCCGCACATGAATCAGACCAGATGATCAGATAATCCATTTTGGTTATGCTTTCGTTAACTTCAATATATGTGAGTAGAGAACTACATATTTCAGCAGTTCCTCTGTTTGCAAGATCTTCGATCCAGGTATAAAACATGCTTTGCCTGTAGTAAAAGTTTGTTGTAATATACACCCCAAAATTGTAAAACCACATTTGCCTAAGATCATCTCTTCTTGATGTACGTAATAAAAGAGGAGCAGACATCGCAAGTGGCCATCATCTCGTAATTGGTAGGTACCATTAAAATAAAGATGGCAAAAAACAAAATCACGCGAAACACCAAGAGACCAACATACAATCTAGATAAACTAAAAACGGTCCCAGGAAACATATGTTTAGAGAGGAACTTCAACTTAAAACAAGATAATGTAAAATAAATAGCTGGGAGGATTTCGCAGATGTTTTGACAGAAATAGCTGAAGACAAACTGGGTAAAAAAGAGAAGGATAGAAAGAAATGGATATCAGATGAAACATGGAATCTTATCGAGGAAAGAAAACAACCAAAAAAAGATATCCTGCAAGCAAGAACTATAGAAAGAAGAGCACACCGACAACAGGAATAACAAACAATAAATAAATCAATTAAAAGAAAAACAAGAAGAGACAAAAGAAGGTGGGCCGAAGAACTGGCAAAACAAGCAGAAACAACTGCACAACACAACATAACTAGGGATCTTTACCAAATTACTAGACAACTAACAAAAAATGGGTCCAACTGTTCGAACATTGTAAGATCCAAGACAGGCGAATTACTTACTTACTTACTTAATATAGACTTGTATATTTCTTGCGAGGCCCCTTCCAAAACGGAGATAATAACAGCTATTAAATCTCTGAGAAACAACCAACTCCAAGTCACCGGGAATCGATAACATTGCTGCTGAAATACTTAAAGCTGATCCGCATCTAACTGCTGAACTTTTGCTCCCCATAATCCGAGAGGTGTGGGAAACAAACCACATTCTAGCGGGCTGGAGAAAACACTAACAGTAACATTATCAAGCTTCCAAAAAAAGGCAACCTCACACTGTTCAAAAATTGGAGAGGATTAACCTTGCTTACTGTCATAAATAAAATTTTCACGACCATCATACTGAAAAGATTAACAAACAAGGTTATCACAGCGTGACACACAATGGGATTAACAGTGACGAATTCGACGTACTTACTGGAGTTAGACAGGGATGCGTGCTTTCTCCGTTTCTTTTTAACATAGCTATAGACTATGTTCTCTCCAAACTAGACTCCGACACAAGAGGGATACAATGGACGTTAACCACACGCCTAAGCGATCTAGAATACGCGGACGATATCTGCCTATTAGTTCAGAGGTTCCAAGATTTGGCTTACCAATTTGAAACACTTGTAAAGTAATAGGAATGGGAGCGTTAATGTGAAGGTAAGGAAAACGCTGTCACCAAATGAAATACACAATAGATCCTCAAGGGATGCTAACCCTGCGAGCGGCTGCAAGGAATACTGGTCACACTGGTCTGGAGGGCTGGCTCGTCTTCGTGGATTTACGAGAAGATAAGGGATTTCGGGATAGGGGTAAGGACTCCTAGGTCTCAGGTCCTGTAAAGAGCAGAGGTTATGGGCTTACTTTTGAAGCCGGAGATATGCATACGCTGAATCTCGTGTTCTCCTAGTCTCTAGAGAGTCGGACGAAAGGAACATAAAAAAACTAATTTAGAGTCAACAATATATTGAATCTACTCTGAAGTTACAAATACAATCGTTAACACGTTATTCAGCGCGTCGGGAGACGATGAAGCAAGATAGTGAAGAGTTGACAGTTATACTAATATAATTACACAGGTTAGTATAAAGAAATCTGTTACCTTATGTGCGTACTAGAGCTTTCAACCACGACACGTTCAGTCTTCTGGAACTCGGTCAGTTGAGGTTCTCCTCCTGAGTTACGAACTTACGAGCTGCCACAATAACCGGACTACACGCGATACTAGGCCGGATGATAAGCGTCCCCCGGAGAATTAAAGACTGCCTCGTACTGATCGCGTACGGGACGCTATCGCGTCCGAGCCGGAGCTCAGCAATTACTGACTGCCCATTACTGACTACGTCGTACCCGACGCTACCGTGTCGAAAGTACCCGGAGCAGGCAATTGATGCCTTCACGGCTACCGCCGTATCACTACTGCCTCACTGGCGTCCTTAGTTCGGTTTTTATCAAATGGTGTCCTCATTGACCGTTGTAGTCCAAGGTTGCTGAATTGTAGTTTTGGCGTTATTGCTCCTATTTGGGTCACGGGTGTTGTTATTTTTTTTTCAACAATAGTTTCGTGCTTTTTATACGTTTAAACAATTATCAAACAATGCAATAACTAGGTCAATTTCTTTGTGTGATTTAAAATGCAAATTTTACTGTAATAATTATCCCTTATTTGATTTGGAATATATAATAATTATCTCGAATAATTATTATCTTTTTCTATGCTACTTCCTTTATTCCAACTTCTCACTCACTTGCTACGCTCACATTACACACTTTCGAAAAGCCCAACAAGCTTTCAGCACGCTTAACCCTGTTTAGAGATCTGGCGAGTATACTACAAGGACAAAGATACTAATATTCAGATCAAATGTCTGTTCTAGTCTACG